CACACACACACACACGCACGCACGCACGCACGCACGCACACACACACATACATACATACATACATACATACATACATACATACATACATACATACATACATACATACATACATACATACACACACACACCACACACAATCAAAAACGCGCATGCACACACACGCACACACAGCCATTGCCATCCGATGCTCACCCCCTCCCTGCAGGATCTTGTACAGCTTCGACTCGTACAGCAGCTGGGGGTGGCGCGCCTTGATTGACTCCTGTCAAACGCACGCAGCGATTGCCACGAATCAGCAGCGACCACGCCAACACAGGCAGCTAGAGGCCTCGAGCGGCATGCTGAAGGCACCGCAGCAGGCGGCGGCAGCCCATCCTGCAAAGCACCGCACCCGCCGCCCTTTTACTTGCCGCCGCAGCCGCCGCCGCCGCCGCAGCCGCGCGAGCGCGACTCTCGGGCCCCTGAATCGTGCCTGCCGCTCAGAGCCGCCGCCCGCCGGGGGCGCCCCCGCATCCCGAAGCGGGCAGACGGGGCTGGCGTGCGCTGTGACAACAGCCAGCGCACCAGCTTAATGCCGACCTCCTCCCCAGTCTGCAGGTTGGTGCCTAGGAAGATCTCTGGGGGCCGCAGGGGTATGCGCGTTGGTGGATGGACGTGCAATGGGGGCGGGCCGCGGCGCAACGCGCGCGGCGCACGTGTGCGTGCAGCAAGGGCGGTAAACAACGGGTGCGGCATGGGGTGCAGCTTTCAGGCCGCTCGCCGCGTGGCGGCAGCAACGGCCGCAGGGGCCGCGCGGTCGCCGGTTGGCGCCGCGTGTGCGGTTTCATGCCCTCCTGGTCCACGCCGCTGCGCTCTCACCTCCAAACGACCCGCCACCCAGCTTTCGGCCAAGGCGGTATTTGCCCGCTATCAGTATGTCGAGAGCCATCGCGGCCGTGCTCTCGCAGTTGGGTTTCCTGCGTCGAACGCTGCGGGCTGGTGCTCTGCTGCCAATGCGCCTGCGCCCCCCGCGCCGCTTGGCGTGGGCTGTGCAAGAAAGGCAGAGTTGTAGCTGATATGAACGCTGTTAAAGGTGTATGTGTTCAGACCGATGCTGCATCACGAGCAGAGCACGCCCGCGGCCCGTGGTGGGTCCCATTATACCCGCAGGTTCTCCCTTGCTCTGCACTCACCAGCTTCTTGTTTTTGGTCTATTTCAATATGTGATATGGTCAACACTTCCCATGAGCGCCGAGGGTGCCCGCACAGACTGCGCCACGCTTTCGTGCCCCAGCCAACGTCAAGATTCTGTTTACAATTCAACAAGTGAGAAACGCATAGTGTCTGGGCTGGTCACGTGCTGTTGGCTTACGGACTTTGTGCAGTCGAGTGATGAAGTGACTCCTTCCTGCACATCGGTTGTCGGGTGATCGCGAATGCGGAGGGCGAAAACACCGATATACAAACCTTTGCCACCCTGAGGCAAAGCACCAGGGCCCATGGTCCCCTTCCATCCAGCATGGAACGCGGGGACGGTGACGCCCCTGTGCTGGGGCGAGGGAGCTGGCCGTGGTCCGCAGCGAGGTCGGCTGATACAGACAGGCTAGACATGCCTGCATGGCACGAGATGTCACCTGCTAGTTGCGCCACCACCCGCATTGGCTCGCCACACGCGGCAGGCGGGCGCGTTTTGCCGGCCTGGTCAACTGCGGCAGTCAGTCGGAGGCAATGCCAGGGCCCAGGGACTCCCATGAAGCTTGCTCTGTGCCGGGAGAGTGTTGACCACGGCTGCCCCTTTTGTCTTGGCAACAGGTCGAGAGCTCAGCTGTGGTGCAGCCGCAACGCCAAGCGCCACGCGCCGCAGTAACTTCACGCGGCACTCTCTGTGCAACAGTGTTCGTCGGCTTGTTTGTGTTTGCTACACCTGGCCTCACTACGACATTCACGTGTAATGATGCCTGCAGTACAAGGTGCCTGCGAGATTTCTCGCCTTAGCCCCAGCACGCGACCAAGGCAAGCCCCCGCTCATTGATGAGAATGTACAAAAAAAAGTAGTCCAGGCTTGGACATAGCGGGCCTGGACTCGGCCCCTTGCCGGCAACTACCTCCAGTGCCCCTTGCATCAATGCGCCGCCGCTTGCTGCTGCTGCTGCTGCTGCTGCCCTTGGCCCTGCTGCTGCCCCGCCGCCGCGGGCCGCGCGCTCTGGCCCGACACGCGGCACAGCTTCGCCAGCAGCCCAGACATCTGCAGCCTGCTGTTGACGCCGTCGCCGATGCGCATGTGGCAGAACCCTATCTCCCGGAGGAACTCGAGCTGCATGTACTCGCTGAAGGCCTGCCCCGACGGCGCGTTGCGGCACACCTGGCGTGCGTGGGCGGCGTCGGGG